GAAACTCCCTTCAGTTGTTTGAGTATGTGGCTTTTTCGCATGATACAGGGCGTTGACGATAGGCTCTACAGCTGACACATAGATCGTGAGTTCTTCAGGGCCGTTCTATGTTTTGATCTTTCAAATAATTAGTTGATCTGTCAATTTCTATCGATCTCAGAAAAGAACGTGTCGAGTCGATTTTAGTTTTTGCATAGAAATTTTTTTACGAATCTTTTTCTTTCATACATACAGCATTATGAAATTATTAGGGTTTTTCATAGATAAAGTACTGCGAATATCAGGAAGCATTCGATGACAATTTTAACACTGTCTTTTGCGTTCGCAACATCCGTTATCAATCAGTCGACAGTTACGATGCGGTCATAAATCAAGGTCACTGTATAGCAAAGGCATGACAATGTTCGCTCAAACGATTTGACGAGAAGCTAAATTGATGGCTGTAGTCATCGTTTTTAGTGAACGAACCTACAGTGCTACTGCACTTCATGCCATACCTTTGTAACCAGATATATATCGCACTTTTTGTACTAATAAGTTATTTATGTTTATTGCTTTCTATTATGTCGATCCGAAGGTTCTGTCGTTCCACTAATTTCATGAGGAAAAAATTTCGCTTTCAGACAAAGCCTTGCGGAGCTTCTGCTTCACATGCCTGCGGAGATGAAAATGGAAAAGGACTACCATATACGTTTGATCATTTTGAGTTAGGCCACCAAAAATCTGAAACGCTGCAGAAAAATCTGAAATCGTCGATACGTTTTTTGACCTACTCTTTGCAAGCGAAGAAAGTTTGTGCTGTTTTCGTTTCTGTAAGAAGCTATGATTTTCGAAAAAAATGAAAAATTAATTGATTTGGAGTTTTCTATAATGAACTCGAAATTGATAACTTCTTACAGAAATGTCCAAAGAGCGCAAACTCTTCAGAGTTGCGAAGAGTAGACCATAAAACTTATGTACCGACATTTTTGGATTTTTCTGCAATGTTTCAGATGTTTTGTACCTAACTTAAAATGATCGAAGCCTGTTTATCTGTAGCCAGTGTTCGCGAGAAAATAGGAAGTCTTGAGAAGTAGACAGATTCTTCTCTCTACAAAATTACACAAAAAGCATTCTGCCCAATCAGCGAGTTACGATTCTTGAAGATGAAACGACAGAAGCTCTGGCCCAACCCAACATTTCAATGTGAAATTTAGTTACCCTTAACCAGTAAGTCCCGCAACTTGCAGATTCTAATGGTCCCGTAAAAGCTCTGTAGCAGACAGCCATTTTTGAAATGTTGCAACAACTTATCCATATTTGTCGTTTACTTGCGATTGTAGGTTCTGCAAGGCTACAAAATTGATTTTTTTTGTATTATCAAATTTTCATTTTGTGGTGAGGATGATACTAAAAGTTTT